AAAGTATTGATATCCTATAATCATATAATCTTATAGCTCTAGGTTTAATTAGCAGATAAATATATTACAGATGTCATAGAATACAGGCGAAGTTCTGAGGCTAATCTGGGCATCTCTTCTTTATTTAATATTTTTTTGCCGGAACGACAATATACAAATAAAGAAATTATATTTATTTTTTGTTTAACAGTTTTTGGAGGATTTTTTTTTCTGAAATCAGAATCAATGTTTTCAGATAGTGGCTTTCTACATTTGGGGCATAAATTAGGGTTTTTATTATTATTACATTGTTCACAAAGAGATACAAAACAGCATTCTACCATAACGAAAAAACTATAGTTAGGTTAGTTTCATGATATAAGCCACACAAGGAGCATCTTGAGGTCCTACAACACTTTTTAATTTGGCATTTTATTCCTTTAGTTAAATCCATCCAACTTTTTAAAGTGATGGAATCTTGTATATGCCTGTGTTCACTTATATTATGTAAGGGAGTAGTTGAAAAACTATCCGTAGAAAAAATAGTTAATTTTTCTAGATCATGCTCTTCAAGTTCATGCACAGAGGCTCTTTCCCTTCGAAAGTATTTCTCATATGATCGTGAAGACGCTTATTCCGAATTTTCTTAATACAAATACTGCCTTCTCGCAATTCTTGCTCGAAGCCAGAAATAAATAATTACTTTTTTTTGTTCTAAAAATTTATAGAAATGGTGGCTTCGAGTGATTTATCACGAGAAGGCAGGAATAAATTGCAACTATAGTAAACCAGTTTTTTTTCAAAATATATATGAGCAAAAAATAACATTATTGCTAACTTATCTTATGGGCAGAAGCTTGCTTATTTTATACTTCATATTCGTTCAGTCTGAGAACCGGTCAGAAGAAGAGCTACTCGATTAGTAATTACGTTACCCAAATTCAACGCCAGTTTTTTCTCCATAAAGCAACTCCGCTCAGTCATAAGTTCCAAACACTGATCTATTTTGTTATTTTTCTGGTAAAATTAACCCTCTTAGATTCAATGATCTCTCCTGCGAAGTGAAAAAGTTAACGATCTCGACAATCTGGGAATTCCAAGTTCCTGCGACATATGAATTTGGATAAAACTACTGATAAATAACATTTATACTCTTTCCTCTTATAGCTCTTTTAAGTCTCATTCGTAGTTTGTTCTTATCACAGGATCGTATAAAGTAAGGAAAAACGAAATCGACTGTGAGAATTAATTCTGCAGAGAAGTGATAACAAACCATATGCCGATTTCATGATTTGTATTATGAACTTTAAAATAATTCATATGTACCGATTTACACATATTTTGCTTCTTTGAAGTCGTTCGCAAGTAAGCCACCGTTGAAGTGCCGTAATTCATATAAACCTGAATATCTCATGGGCCATGGAGGTGTTAACTCATGACATATAACATATAAATACAACGTAATTCATTTTTAGACCTGAAAGAAATCCAGCAATAATGCGTATATGTTTGTGTCTCTCAGCCCCAATTTATTTATGAATTATTACTGTATTATTTATACAAACCCAACCAAAAAATAGAGAAATAGCCCCAAAACAGAATAATAATAATGTATTGGTATAGGTATTTTAAATGAGCAATTTTGTGTCGAATTGACATAGTGCCAAATGCAAATAATTATTAGATACCTGTTATTTATTATAGCCACATATATATAAAATAGATCTAATTCCTAATTTTTAACGCTATCATATTTTCTGATAATACATATTCTACCTTTAATATTATAGTCTTCTTAGGTGCAGTCATCGCCTTCTATAGCAGGCCCAGGATCCGACTGTTATCTCCCTGAATTTTATATTCTCGCTTTTCATTTTGCTATTGAGGGCGTAATCGTTATTCTTCTACATGGGGCGTATGCAAGGAGAGGAAGGTCCAACAGACTTCTCAGGTTTTAAACCACCAGGCTACACTATGTAAATGATATGAATGTATCCACCTTGCTTTTTTGACATTATACTTCTTCTCGATAGTCACGCAAAAAATTTTGTCTATAACTTTAGGTGATAGGGCCTCTGACTTTGTTTTTTCTCACTTATAAAAACCCAATTTTAGAGGGCGCGATTGTTAGATTACAATTGTCTACGTAGCGAGGAGAGGAAGACCCAATGAGCTTCCCGTGGTTTAGTCCACTGAGCTATGGGATAAGAAATAGTTTAAAAGTATCCACCTCGAAATTTACATAAATACAAAACCTCGATTGGGTTGTGAAAAAAAGTAAATATACTATAGCTGAGGTAATTAATATTAATATTCAGTCAAAAGATATTAAGTTTATCTCCTTCCTTGTATTTTTTCGCATAGAAGCCCAGTACTCATCAACATCAATAAAGCTAGTGCACTGCACTGCGCTGTATGTATGCAACAGGTTTTGGTGGTAACGGAGGAGTCAATGAACGTATCAAACTAGGCGTAAAGCTTTTGATTTTCATAGACTCGATTGGCACAATATCTTGATAAGCATTTTGGATAACCCATGTACTTCCATCTTGGGTTTCGGTTTTGAAGCATTCATTATTCCAATGATTTTGCATCAAGTCTTCAGATTTAATCTCATAACCCCATCTATGACACCTCTCCAAATATACCTTTTTTGGTTCTACTTCAGTAATATTTACCAATCACCAGCATTTGAAGCATATAGCTATCTGACTTTTATGAACTTTAGGTCTTTGATAGCTGATATGTTCAACTCTTGGTCTATGGTTTTCAAAATAAGTTCTTATGCTTCCTTCTCCAAAAGAAGCGAAGAGACAATATACGTGATAAATGCTAGATCTTTCTCTAGAAAGTAACTCTTTCAAATCATCTTTTATACGAATAGCCCACTGTTGAGGTGTTTCACGGGGTCTAATAATAGCTAAAAAATCGTATCTTTTTTCTAGTTTGCATATATTTTCGATACGATTATAGTTATAACTACCACTTTCACATAATATTTTTTGACATATTCCAAATCATATCCTGGACGAAGATTAATGGGTTTGGGTACCGATTTATTAAAAACCTCATCTATAATGATTTTAGGAGTTTGACTAGACATATTTATTAATAATTTATTGTTTTAGTGTTTTAACGATTTATAAGATTTATAGCGATTTTTTATTAACCTATATTAAGGAATATCGCGATTCAAATTTGTAGCCAAAAACGAAAAAAAAATGTAAATATATACTTTATAGATTTTATTTCACATTGACACTTTTTTAACTAATATATTACTCAATTGTGATCTCAAGAATAGCATTAGGAAAACGGTGGAGCTATTATTGAAATTATGAATTGGCTTGGATACTTTTTTCCCTGTGCTTCTGCCTTGCCTCTATCTCTTTTTGTAGGTTCAATGGTGTGTCAAACCTTAGTCGAATGGCAAGAGGATCATCCTCCAGCCTACTGAGATCAAATACAACAAACTCACCTTTGCGGAGGTAGCTATTAATAACCATGGATACACCCTTTACATCATCAGTATATCGTCCAACAATCTTAGACACGTCTTGAATACTGCTACCAGAGTTAAATAATACTAAATGAGTTGAGTTTTCGCAAATAAATGTATCGACTTTATGATATTTTTGCGTTACATATATACATAAAATATTTCGGTGACGTCCATTCCCAAAAAACTGACCAATTCAATTTTGTATATGCTCTGGAGCTAAACATAGATCCTCAATAATAATTAATTTGCTTCTTTCAGGTAAGAAAGTTCTTGTACTAGGAATTTTTTCGGGAGGAATATAACTGAAACTAATATCCTCATAGTAAGGTGCTCTTGGGTCTTTTGAAATTAGATTATATATATATCTCACATATGCCCATTTTGGCTCATTGGGATGATATCCGCAAATAATTAGATCGTCATATTTAATGTAGCAAGACCCACCTTTTTTCTCTCTTTGCACATATTCATCCTTATCACCAAGAACAAGATTCGCAAGTAAATTAGTCTTACCTGTACTACTCCTCCCACTGACTAGTATACTGAAAGGCCATGTCATCGCCGGATAACCAATATTTCAAGATAATTCATGCTTTGTAACTTCATTCATATCCAAAAAACGAAGTTTCATAGGAGGTATTTCTGTTTTTGAATTCTTCTGCATGACAGATTGGATATCTATAACTCTGTTTTCTATAAACTAGATAAAAAATTTCTTTCTTTCTGCTTAGTCGAAAAATTTGCCTGTATATATACCATATAATTAATATTATCACTAAGGCTAAAATAACAAGCTTGAATATAGGCGGAATTATATACTGATCATTAACTAAAGCATTGCCAACTCCTAACGTAACAATAGGTAAAGCTTAAATACTATCGAGTTTCTCTTTCGATTTTTGATCAGCGTGGTCTATCAGGGGCTCCACTATCTCTTTTACATTGCATTTATTGGGGTTAAGCTCTAAGTGATGTAAAGAAAAAGAGGGGGTCTTAGAGAAACCAGATATCTCTTCTATAGCATCACCACCTATTCTTAAATCATTAGATGGCAGATCTAATTTTAGAGAGATCTCTTCTAGTTCATCTTCTAGATCACTTACTCTAGACCTGAGGCAGAAAATTAATCCATCTTTAAATGTTGAATTTCGCATAACTTGCTCTAGTTCGTTTTTCAATTCCTTCACTCTAATCTCGTGAAGAGACTGGGTAGTATCGATATTCTTTAATAAAGCTTTTTGCGCTATTTGTTCTAACTCAGCCTTTAGTTCATTTATTCTAGCCTCAAGAGAAGAAATTTCAGAATCCTTTAAAAATAAAGCTTTTTGTGCTAAAGATAGTAAGCTTTCTAGTAAATTAATCTTAGACTTTAGTGATTCTATTTCTTTTAACTGTTTGGCATTAAGATCGGCACAAGACTTTTGTTCGCAAGTAATTTGGGCTATAAGCTTATTATTCACATTATTTAGTTGCTTAGTTAGAGGGACAATTTGATTTATAGAAATTTGCATATGCTCTTTTTCTTCATGTAAGTGATTTAGATCATTTTGTATACACTTATTTTCTTTATCTAAGACATGATATTTAGTTATAAGCTGTTTGGCAGATCTTATAAACATTTCACAATCTTTTTTTAGCCATTCTTCAAGCTCTAAACGACTAGATGGATATCGATTAGATGGAGGGCTTCCAAGCTTACTACTATTAGTATTTCCTACATCATTCAAGGTATTGATTTAAGACATAGTTTTTTTTTATCTCGCAAATATAGATAAAAAAAAATAAAAATATTTTGAAATAATATAATCTTTCTATATTTCCAAAATAATACATTTATCCTGATTATTCCAATTATCCCAATAAATTTTTTTCAAATTAATGTATTTATCCTAATTATTCTATAAATTATTTTTGAAATAATACATTTTTTCTAAATATCAAAAAGACTACGCTTATCTTATTTATCTCAAAGAATACATTTTTTCTATTTATTCTATTTAATATTTTTTTGAAATATTTTATCTGAAAAAAAAATATACTATCCCGATTATGGTTAGACAACGTATAAATTGTAATGCGCCTTTATTTTCACCAGCTAATTACGATTTTATTATGCAACATGAAAATGAAAGGCCAAGAAAAAAAGTTTTAGAGGAATTAATGCATAAATATAACACATCAATAAAATGCATATATCAGATTTGGAGAGGCGAAGAAGCTAATAGGATTGCTTGGAATCAACCAATAGCTGATATTTCTAATGTCAGATCTAAGATTATTCACTTAAGTGAACCTGCCTCTTATGCTGTTATGCTATCCACTAAAATAGAAGAAGAAATTACTTCTTTTTCACCTGACTTACCACTGAAGAAAAATATCCGAAAAAAGAAGACAGGTAAAATGAGTGTAGCCTCCACTGAAACAGATAATACTATTAACCATGCCCCTTCTAATGATAATATATTTAGGATGCGATTGAACTTGAAAAAGTATTAAAAGAAATGGATGATCTTGGTAATTATATTTAGTTTTTCACTGCTTTTTAGCAAGTATTTTTATTGCACTTAATGCCTTACCAAGCCATTCTTCAGCTTTTGTAAGATCCTCTTCAAGCTTTTTACAGTTTACGTACTTTTTTTTAAGTTCTCTTTACTAGTCGGGGTAGAGGAGTTGACAGATGTTTAAGATAATGAATCTTGCTCATCTTTTGGCGGATCCTTAGCTACTGGGGTCTTGCTATATGTTGGAAAACATAGGTCTTTCTATGTAACTTTATGCGGAACTGGTTTTTATTTGGCTCAGGAACACCTTGGAACTTTCGAATATTTGACATACCTAAAAATAGCATTGGTTCAGGTTCGCCATTATCTATACGTACAAAATTTCCAATGACTGTGACTGTCTCACCCTCTTTGTCCTTCATAGTAACTGGCACATCTGTGTATCATCCTAATAAATCGGTGATATGCCTAGAATTACCCTTTATAGCAAAATCAGATAGCTTATTAGCCTTCCATCCAAGCGTCTTAATTGCCGGGTTATTTATACTACCAAATTCACTTCCGGGATCCAAAAAAGATTCAAAAATCGCTAAATCATTTATATTTACATTCAGATATTGTAGAGAAGAAAACTACTCACCTGATTCCTTTTCCTGAGCCTTTCGGGACAAGCACATTTTACGCATTGCCGGTGAAAGTTTTGGCAATAGCTCATCATACGTTTCGGGCTGACTGGATTCTGTTAGTATCTATTTTTTTTTACTGGCGAATCATACCTGGTCCATCTATTATTTTCTTCATCATAACTATCTTCTTCATTATCCGAACCTGGAGGTGTGTTTTGGAAATTTATAGGTGTAAACGGTTTAAAATAAGTAGACCGATTGAAATTAGCATCAGCAAAAATAAATAGGCGTAAACCTCCGCAAGTTTTTACGCGAGCGTAAACTTACGAAAATTTACGATTAG